GAAAACACTCAACGAGTACATGAAAAGACACAAAAATGTACATAACATGAAAACCACACAATGAGAGATTGCCACATGAAATCACACAGCATTAGACGTCTAGGACACAACATAAACGTCTCATAAAAGTAATTCACTTAATATACAATACAAAGATGATAAAAACTTTACAAAAGAATAACACAGCATAAATATTACTCAACGCGTCAAAAACTCAAAATGCAAATACAGTATAAAAGAGTAAATAAATATAAACACACCAAGAATATATACAAAGAACTATATTAAAAAAATTTAACGATCCAGCTCATCATAAGCAGGAGACATTACGTAAAAAAATGAACCCCCAAAGCAACATAAACACCACCAAAAAATATAACATACAATACCTATAATACATCAAAGATGAAATACCGAACAAAAATGCATCGCAAATTTAACATTACATATATAACCAATATATAAATATAAAGCTGCTTTTCGATATATAAAAAGACATAAACATATATGACATAAAAATAACAAGGCACTTTCTGTTCAAACATTTGTGAAAAAAAAACCATTTAAGCAGAGAAAATACAATTAAAATACACAATGAAAATCAGATTTGACAAATATATCGAAAACATTTATAGCTTTTTGCAACACTATGGGTTATTTCATACGGTAAAAATCATCCTAAGTGTACGATTCAGATGTTGATGTATAAGCTAAACTGATTAATAACGAAATTCATCAGTTAGAAATATTCGCTGATTTGTGCTAATCAGTAACCTGAATCAATTTGCAGTTTCCTAGAATTAATACTTCCTATATGTGATTATGGTCTTCCTATGACCACTGAACATTTTGTCGTGTGCCCTCCACTAATTAATCTTAATTCAAATTTCGAAAAATATTGGAGAGCTCCTCCACTAATGGCATAGATGCTATTGTAGTGTGGGGCATTTTTAAAATAACTAAAAATAAATAAGTACTTCCTATTTATATAGTTAAACTTATATAATAGTAGGAATCTTTTCATATATTATTAAATGGCAGATACACAAAACAGGGGGATACAGTTATAGACTAAAGTCACTTGAAAGGAAATTTGATTTTTTCACAATTAAAAAACGTAAACATTGTTTAGTCAATATTCGACATCAAGGGGTAAGCATTTATAAAATTATTATGAAACATTATTTAAGCAAGTGCAAGTAAACTGGAATTTTAAAGCTGTCTTAGGTAAAAGAACGAGAGCTTGAACTAAATGTGAAGCAGATTTTCAGATAGAAAAAATGCCTCAATTTCCATTGGAATTTGCAATATTATAACTCATATCTCTGTTAGCAATATAGTGTTTTTAAAAATGTCAAAATATTAAATGAATACTTTATATTTTTCGTTTTAATACGTGAAGGCATAGCCCATTTAATATTACGATATAGGAGAAAAACGCGAAACACATTTTATACCAGAAAAAATGAATCACCTCGGTTAAAAATGGAAAGTATAAGAAATGCTGCTCTCTAAAGGATAGTGAAGCCAGAAGATCATATTAATGTTTCATTTCCTTTATATCTGAAAAAATATTCCAAATCCAGGCCCTATTCTTTAACATTAACCGAAGACAGCCTTAAATGTAAAAAAAAAAATACTTTATATGTTTTATATATATAAAATGTTTTATAGTGTGAACTAAAATTACAAGTTGGGGGTGAAATATATACACTTTTATGCCAAAGTAAATAAACTTAAATTAAAAGCAAAGTTAACTGTCAAAATCTAAAAGAAATTAACTAGTTTGATATTTAAGTATTTAGCTCAGTGGATTTTCAAATTTTTCCCAACACCTACACATTTTTAAAGAATTTTTCTCATAGATTTCTTGACATTTTTCTAAATAATATGCAACATCTAATCTATTATAATAAAAAAAAAAACAATTGCACACAAATAAATATAATGATGTAAATAAGGATATGGTGAAGTAAATTAGATGAAAGGGGGGTTTATTAGATATTTAAAATTTTTATACCAAGGAATTGTACCTTAGGTCCGTGTATCTTCGCTGTTTAAGTAAATCTATATTATTCCTGTATATAATAAAATGGATATATTATCTAATAATATAACAATTCTAAGAAACAAACAAGTAATATAAAAAAAAAATTGAGTCAATTCCTCCTTAGGTCAATAAAGAAAAATTTTATTTTAGTTACTTTTTATTAAATAGTTACAATTAATATAAATATATTTATATGATAGAATTACAATATTAAGTGACACAATAGAAAGCTATTTTCCCTGCATAGAGAGTCCATTTTTCTTTCTGTAAAGGGTGCTGGACTATTTTTGTTTGTTTATTACTTTTTATTCATTAATTGAATTGAATTTTTCTAACAAAATATTACACACACAGTAAAAAAGAAGTCCCGTTCTCTCAAATTAGACAATTCCAGGTGAGATTCGAACGCACGACCTTTGGATTAAAGGTCCAACGCACTATTATTGCGCTACAGGGACACAACGAACGATGTTCCTTTCTATATATTCTGTTGAGCATTTTTGTTTGTTACTATTTATTCATTTTGTTAAATTTAATTAATGAATTATATTTGAAAAAAATGTATTAACATCAAGCAGTGGCGCACACAAGGGGAGGGTCCTGGGGTCCGGACACCCACCCAAAGCCCTCGATTTTTTTCCGATTGATTATAATTCTAAGTATATAGTACGCAAAATTTAAATAAATATTTGTTATTAATGATTAATTTTATTAATTAATGCTAATTATTTATTCAATAATTAGTTTTTTACTGTGTTTTGCTCCCGAAAATCGACAAAATCAAAAGGAGCATGATACAAGAATGGGGAACTTTCGACCCCGGACCCCCCTCGAAAAATTCCTGTGTGAGCTACTGACATCAAGTGTCATCCACTACAAGTTTCAAAAAATGTATTTGAACTTGAATGGATAAACAGAAAGTATTTTATTAACAATTGAAAATTTGAACAAAATAATATATATATATACATATATATATAGGAAGAGAGTGAACTAGCAGTAGGAATTGAAAAAAGAAACATCGTCTTATCAACAATGGTACAAAAATATAAAGATAGATTTTTTACCAAATTTTTTTAAATATTACTTAACGGAGAAGTTATCACAACTTCCAAATATCTTAGATGTTATTTTTGCTTAAAAATTTATCTTTCATGAGATTCTTGATAAAAAATTAAATATACTTTAGATGTTAATGTGTTGCATGCTTCCAACAAAAGATTAAAAAATACTGCATGCAATATGCAATTACAAAAACGTAAGAAACAAGGATATTGCACTATGTAAGCAAGGATGTTATGCAAATTATACAACTCAGCTTATTATGTAGCAAAGTAATTTAATCTTACTTTAAATTAGTTTTTAAAATTATAAATTTCTTGTGTGATATAATTTATATCTAAGAAAATATTTAAAATTATATATTTTGGAACTTTTTGAAAAAATATAATTTACTCCTCTTTCAACAATATACTAAAAAATATTGCGTAGAATTTAGCACAAATCGTTATGGATTTATATTGAGCCATCTCTTAAACAAGATGTTTTTTTAACTTAATTTTTAAGAAAATGTTTAACTTTTTTGTAAATTTAGGGAATTAATTTATTGATCATTGTTTAAAGAACAAATATCTTGGTAAAGAATTTATGACAACCAATAATATCTATAACCATAAATAAAAGTTCTATATGTTTGAAAAGCAGAACCCTTCATTACAAAATAATAGTATCTTCTATTATCACTCTCTTTAAAATAATAGTATTTTTCTCTAGTATTTCAAAAAAGTAGTTCAATATAAGGGGCATAATTATGAATAATCATTTTTTTCCTTAAAAATGAATATAATTTTAAATAACACACAAGTCAGTTAATGTTAATTAATACCAGTTCCTTTTTTTAAAAAAATAGAGAAAGAGACCAAAAAACGCTTATGTGATGAATATTCTAAAAATCATGGACTTGAGTCAAAATATTAATTAATAGAAAAATTCTTTTACAACATGCATAAAAAATATAAAACAGCTTGAGACATTATATTTAATTTATCTAAGGTAGAAATCTCAAGTTATTTTTTTTTGTAAATCAAAGGGAATATGTAATTGAATCAGAATAATAAAGAACACATTTAATAAAAAAGTACAGTAAATTATTAGATAGTAACTATTTTAATAATGGCTTAGATAAAAAAAAGAATAGTATCATGAATTTCATCTCATTAATTATTAGATTTAAGTATAAAAGAATTTAAAGGCGAAATTTAATTTGTTTTCAAACGAGAAATGAAAACAGCATGAATTAAAATACGTTATTAATGAAAGAAAAATACCGCTTGCTCAATTTTTCCCCTAATATTAATTTGAAAAGCAATGAAGAACAAGATTATCAACTGAAATTCTTTTGAGTGTAAGCTATCAAATACTAATATATCAGGAAAAAAATAAATTTCAAATGCAGATATTAAGTAAATAATTAATTAAAACATAATATATAAAATTTTATCCTAAATCTATTTCTTTTTAATTATTTAAAAAATAAATCTGTGACAAATTTGACTTTTTAAGAAACAGAAAATATTACTTCTAAATTAATAGTCAATAAAATTATGTTCAAAAAGAATTCTTAAATTTTAAGGGAAGATGTATATAAAAAGATTGTTTTACTTTTGAAACTGATATTTTAAATTCAGTTCAACAAACTGGATGTTAAAATCCATTCATCATTATATTATTTAAAAAATTAAATTAAACTGTTACGAAAATAAAAGAGTGTAATTTCTGATTTTTCTTTAAAAAATATGAATTCCTTAATTCAAACAAGTTTCATTTATATCGTATTGAATAACACTTTGAATTCGATAATATGTATTGTAATTTCAGTAATTTGTTAAAATTTATTGCATGCGCATCAACTCTGAATTCGATGAGCACAATATTTTTTCATTTTGAGTTTAGAATGATACATTGCATAGTGGTTTTTGAGGGACAAATTCACAAATTAAATCATAATGACTAATATTTTTTTAAATATCTATTGAAATTTATATGAGTTCACTTTTCGGAAAAAATTTTAACTTTTGAAAAAATTCATAGTACTTTTCCTAGTATTACACCTACTGTACAACTCTATAAAAATATTAATGATAACGAATCCAACAATGCCTCTTAGTGACTCAGAGAAAGACTCAGTTTAATCCTTATCCTAAAGAGAGCAACAGCCAAATCTCAATGTAATCTTGATCCTAAGATAAGCAGCAGCTAGGCTGTTTATATATAGTTATGTAATGCGGTTCCGCCTTTGCAGATTTTCTTATTTTTTTTCTGTGCTGTGATGTCAGTAAATCCGTTTTTCAAACTGTGGGACTCACCCCTTAAGGGGGTGTGATAACTCTACGAGGAGGACGCGAGTATATTCAAAAGTGAAAACAAAAGATTATTTTTTAAAAAATATTAATTTTTCAAAAGTAAACAAAAAAAAACACATTCTGACATAACAACAAAAATAAAATACACATCTACACTGATATAATACACTTATAAATGTATCAGTACTACACAATGTATTTTATAATTAATTTAACAATACTAAATTAAGAACAAATGTAAAAATTACCACTGACACAATGGACTTCAAATATATAAAATTATATACAGAAATTAACATTTATCTTGATAATTTGTACGGTTTATAATTAATAGTTACGCGATTCACTCCCGAATGACATTTTTTCCACGTAAGAGTGCAAAATTGATGTATTGAGGGTAGGGGAAGAAAAGGAATAAATAAACAAGTCCTCTGAAATAAGTAAATCTTTCTCAAACACTGTCAATGTCCTTTTATTGCATTCAAAAGCCTTCGAAATATTTTTTTGGATAGCTATGCATAGAAGAGATCAACCTTCGGAAAGACGTATTTTTACGTCAGAGGCAATTAACGCTTTGGCTGATAGACTTTTATAAATGCCTGGGGCACTTCAGAGGTTTAAGTCGTATTGTAGCTTTGGCATCAAAGCATAGTATTATTGAATGGTGAGAAGCGAGGGCGATGAAAATTATGATTGAATACTGATTTGGAAATATTGAAAGTTTGAGAAGCACTGCTGTAAATAAGTCCTAATGTATACTGGCTAGCCAAGTCATCACTATTACAGGTATAGTATTTTTATAAAAAATATTTTCTGTATGAAAAATTGCAATTAAATGTTTAATTTAATTAGAAATATTTTATATCAAATACAATCGCTTATATCTTAATGAAAGATTAATATTAATAGTAACTTCGGCTCCAAAATAACTGAAAATCTATTATGGTAGTTTATAAAATTATCTAAAAAATTTTATTCTGATAAATCTATAAAAGAGCATACGCTACCTTCAACCATTAAAATTTACATTTGATATAAATTATGGAATTTTCACTCAAACAGATAAATGTTAATGGGGATTTTTTGACTTTCATCAAATACCGAATCCTTCTCGAGCAACGAAATTCCAAATCAATGCAGTTATTTGTTTTCTAAAATGAATCTTCATCCCATATTGGTAATTTTTATTTTCTTATTTTTCAATTAATTTCTTCTCAAAACAAATTAAGGTTTTATTTTTTTTCCCCCATTTATAAAACGTTTTCTGTTCATGCCACATTCATATTTGGGTTTTTATACATAGTGGAGTGAAAAGAATCAAATTCTTGCTAGCTGTATGGTCATTTAAAGATGTAACCTCTTAAAATTATTATTGAGTGCAAGCTCAAATTGAACAAAAAAAAACGTAGTGTACATTATAACTCATAATTTCATGTAACATAACTATTATATTAATTTATAAATGTATTCACATATAGCATTCATTTATAAACTTTAATACAGTCTGAGCTTTCGACTAAATATTTTCGCTGAAGCTCTTTTTTTTTACCAATTTTAGCTTTTTTTATGAATCAGAGGCTGATACGAGAAATATTTTACGAAACCATATTTCCATGATATGATTTTAAATTCAAATGCATCATAAACTTAATTATTTTTTCGATTGAATATATGGAATACGGTCTCATAAAATTTTGTTTTAAGATTTGTTCCTTCAATGAAATTTAATTTTCGACATGTACATTATGAGAGAACAAAATTTTAAAAAAAATACCTCTGAAAATATGCTATAAAATATCGTTAAATCAATTTTCGAAATTTCTATTTTCCTTTTAATGAAAAACTTTTTAAAAATTGTATTTTTCAAATGATTTCCTTGATTGCCGAAATTCTAGAATGAATTTACAATAATTTACAAGGTTTTGTTACACATATAAATTCATTACACGTTATATGGATATTATAAAAACGGTTATATGGAAATAGGGTAAATAAATATAAAAATAACCGATAATTAAACTTTCCAATGCCTATTATTCCAGTTGCTTATGTTAAAAAGTTATTGAGAAATAGAACTCGCATTTCTTTTAAAAATA